TAGATTAACAATAATGTAAAAAACAAGAATTAATATAAATAAAGAAAAATAATGGAAGTTGGTCATGACTTGAGGAATGACTAAAGAGCCATTCTCAAGCATTAAATATCCTCTTAAAATCTTTAGGACATATGAGTTCTCATATTAGTTTACACACCCTGATAAGAAAATGATAGAGATAAGTAAGATATTGAAAATGGGATAAAAAGTGGAATCAATATCTAGAACAAGATAAGAATTTAAAAAAATCTCATATTTAAAAAAAAAACATATGATAGAATGAAAAGGTAGAATTAAAAGAGGTAAACATGGTAAAAAGATTTAAGGCCCTTTTACAACTTATATTACTTTTCCTCAACCAAGATGGAGCACTCTTTTATTACATAGTATTGGCTCAAAGTTTAAACCAAAGGAGGGAAGGGCAATTTGAGTTATTAAAATTTTGAGGTTTTTAAGTATACTTCCCAACTTTTTCTTGTAAAAGATGCTCGAACTTGGATCAGCAAGCTACTTATATAATTTTTTTCACTACTTAATATGTATAAAAATTTTAATTATTAGTAAAGTTTGTTCCTATTAGTTAAGTTCTCACAAAAATTAATGATGAAATGCACAACCGATGATGCGTGTGATTAATTATAACTGTGTATATGTGATGTGAGTAATAGTTTATATTGAGTAATGATAAAAATAATTTAAAGTAGGTAGGAGATAGAAGGGAAAATAAACTTTTTTGTAGAGGTTAAGTTACACTATTTATCCTTACGTCCTCTTTTGCAAGCCAACAACTTAAGTTTCTATTATTTTCTCTAAAGTATTACAACATACTAATAATTTACGATGCCTTGCTCACTAATCACTTGTGTTCATATAAATGCTATAGTATGTTAATCAAGATGTCAAGCCACCTATTACTTGTGTTCTTCTAAACAATAATGTTTTTCAATCAAGCAGCTAAGTCACATGTCATTTGTGTTCAATCGAACACTAGAGTTTTATTATCAAGGTGTAAAGCTTAAATTTTTCTTGTATTCTCCTGGGAAAAGCTTCTCAAATGAAGAAATTACAACTTTCTCTCTAAAAGAGTAGACTTACAAATAAAAAGCTCACTTAGGGACTTAATGAAGGTTCAAGAGAATAAAGAAGATTTGAAATCTATTAGAGACAATATTTATATATAGGAGGTCAAAAATTCGTCAAATGATGAACTTAATTTGAACTCTAAAAGATACTACAAAATTTTACCAAAAATGTACAAAAAAATTTGTGTAATATATTCTGAGTGATATATTTTGAAATACTGACAGTTTAACTTTAAAATAATATTAAACTCTAAAAACTTATTTTGACTTGAATAATATTTCTTTAACAACAAATATTGTTTTCACTAACACTTTTGAAATCTTTTTTTTTTTTACATATTTAATGTTTAAAAAGATATTTTGACCCGAAAGCTAGTGTGATTCATATTAGGATATAAAGCAAACACTTGATCAATCACACGTGATGTTAAAATTGTATTTTTTGTGTCTTTTGAGTTGCGTTCTACTAACTCCTCAAGTTTTATCAGCCTTTTAAAGTAACATTCTTGAAGCATATGGAGATGATTTTTTAAATTATATATGTTGATACATATAGATCTCATTTTAAAATAATCTTAATAATCATTTTCACAAGTCTAATCTCTTAAAAATATTATGAAGTTAACTTTAAAACCAATGGTATTTTTAAAGAGATTTTTGAATGAATTTTGTAGAGAATCTTCAGCATTAAATCATGATTTTTCTAATTACATAAAAGATGAAAATTTCTAAAATAATTTGACTCTTGGTTTTCATTTATTTCTCTTTTTATTGACACTCCTGTAATCTTTCTTGGTTTGTTCATCTTTCTTAAATTAAGCCTTTTATAGTAACTCAAAAATTCAAAAGACACCATTAGTAGGAAAATAAGTTTGTCAAATTATCAACGTAGTAATCCTTACGAGCAAAGACAGGTTTTTTGCTTCTTGAGAATGAGTTTATACCACTTATTGCTCAAGAAACAAATTGGCATACCACTTAGAATGGTGCAAAGAAGGTCAAACATCAATTTATGAGAATGAAAGTGATGCGTGCAAGGGGAAGAACCTGGGTGTTACGCACACCTGGATGGCATGCAGTATGGTGCACCTCATGGAAGGACGATATAACACCTTATTTAAATGTATGTCAACTTAGTTCCTTTTCCTTTTGGGGCATTTCTGCCATAATTTTGGATTTTTGGCCTACATAAAAATATTATACCTTAGAACCACCAATTTTAGGTCTTTAAACTAATTAACTCTTTAAGATTGAGTGCTCTTCCAACTTATAAAACATACTAAGGTGTCATCATTTTTCCAAGCAATATTTGTGCTAGTATATTGTGCTAACAATTCACCCTTACTTTAATCAAGTTTGTATATTTCTTCTAGCAACATCTTATAGCATGTTGTCATTTTTTTTTAAACAAAATGTTACCAAAATTTGATGTTTTCAACTTACGAATACTTTAAGTAAGTTTATAATTATTCTAGTAAAATCTTACAGAATGAATTAAAATATAGAAATAGACATCGGTTAATAATTTGTAGAGCTCAAACCAAGTTTACAACTATTCAAGTTAATTATTTCATCTTTCTTGAAGCCATATAAGTTCCAATATCAACACTCATCAAATTTTACATATTGGATCTTTATAGTGTGCCACCTTCAATTTGGCAACTGGAGCATGTGGAATTGAATCATCTAATGCTAAATATTGCTACATATTCTTGTGTTAAGCCTTTAGGACTCACTTGGTTAATGTGCTACACATTCTCAAGTGTTGAGGTTTAGGAATTTTTAAAGCACAACCTTCAAGACTCTATTTTGGAATTATGGTGGGTTTTCTCATGTATTTAACACCATCGAACATTTGTGGGGCTTGGTCGTTAGTACTCTCATCATAATTTATGTAGGTCTAGTCATGCACCAATATAAAAACTTAGGAGATCAGCACTTCCACTTTAAATTAGGTAGTTTTTAAAATGCTTTAGTTTCTTAAGTTGTCTTTTAATTTCATTTAAAACCCTAGTCATTTTATTGTCTTTGTTGTCTTATATTTTACTTTTGGTTACTTTAGTAATATGTCTTGATACTTGTTATAAACTTAGTAAAGTTGTATTATTTGAAGGACTAAAAAACTTCATCTTTAATATTAAGAACAATATTCTAACGTTTAGTAGTTCAGTGATGCTACCTGAGCAGCGTACTGGGGTAATAAATTATGGGTTTATAAGATGATAATAGTGGGCTTCACCTAAGTTTTGACTTTTTTCTCTCTCTCTTAGAGTACTCTTGTCCTTTCTTGTCTTTTTTTATCAAATTTTCATAATGAACACTAGTCTTTTATTGTAAATAAATATAATAGAAATTTTAAGTTTTTTTTTAAATTTTTATATTTTGGAAATAAAATTGCTTTTTTTTCATTGTTTGACATTAAAAACTAAAAAAAAATTAAAGTACCAAATAAAACAAATTTAGTAATGCACTTCTTCACATTAAATTAATGTGTTCAACATTTTATGTTCACACTACTACCAACAGAGATCAAAATCAAATAGTTAAATTTCCTCCCCAACTATAAATTACCATTATGAGTAAAATTAAAAAAAAAAAAGAGTTAAACTACAAAAAGTTTTATAAAGAAAATTGCATTATCAATAGTTTATTTTCAGTCGAAAAATGTGTCTCACGTATTTATATAATTTTATAGAATCTGTCTACTATATATCTATTTTAAATAGTTAAAAAAAAAATTGAAAATTTTATTGTAAATAATAAAATTGACTTTCATTAAAAATGTGTGCAAATAACACATTTCAAATTCAATTAATTATTATAGAATAAAATGCATTATATCAATCTTACACCAAGTTTTTACGATATCAGCTTTTATTTTTTTATTGAAACAAATAAAAGATAAAATTTAATTAAAAATTGATACTTAATTTAATTGAAAGAAGAATTACCTTAAAAAATGAATCTCTAAATAAACCTCAACAAAAAAATATTTGCTTATTCTAGATATAGCATGAGGTGAAATTCCCTAATAAATTATACAAATAAAACTTCATCAATTACCAACATAAACTGACTAAAATTAGGCCAAACAAATTTTAAATATAAGCAAAGTATTTTTTATTTTATTTTTTTATTTTTTAAGATTGAAAAGTCTATGTCCTTATGGTTGAAAATAAAATCAAGTAAAATTGATTTATATCTAGAGAATTTTGTAGCTGCTCTTGAATCACAAGACGAACATGTATACTTATGTAAATAGAGTGTTTAATAAGTTAAATCATATTTTCTCTTACACAAATTTAAAGTCATAAATCATACCTTCAAAGTATTTCAGAATTTATTCTAAATTGTTTTTAGTTTGGTAAAATGCGATATATTTCTCATTTTACTGATTAGGATAGATGGTGTAACTGAGAGAGAGAATGAATTAAACATGTCTTCGTATCAAGTGTAGGGATATTAAAAGGATTTCTATTGGTCACAAAAATGCTGTCAAATCCCAACTATGACTTTTTGCATGTGCAAATTGAATGAGACTAGTCCCTCCCTCATGACCAGCTAGCTCATCATAGCGAAATGGCTTTACTAATAGCTGATTTTAGTTCTTTATATAATAAAGTTACGTACTTCTAGAGATTGTAAATTAGTAACTCATATTTTGGCGTGTAAAGCATTTTATGATACTTTAATTCTTTCTCAAAATAATTTGTTTTTAGAAAAAATCCCCTTGACGTTATAACACAGCCATCTATCTTATCACCATGTGCTTTGGCACTTACAGCTTCTACACTCTCTTTCCCATCTCTTTCATTGATATTAAATCTTTCTACGCTATTTAATGCAAATGCATTCATTTTCTTCAGGCTTCTACCTTGAATTTTCCTCATTTCTTTTTCCTTTTAAAGGATGCCACGTGTTCTCCCCTAATTGGACCATTCATTACACTTCTTAAAAAAAGAAAAGAATCTCACTTTTTAGCCGCTAAGGAAAAGTGCCTTATAAATCAAACAAACAGGCTTACGGGGAATCATCTTCTTCCTCTCCCTGTCACGCCCGAGTTGCAGACTTGTTTCGGCAAAAGAATCTCTCTCTCTCTCTCTCTGATCCTAAAAGAAAGCTTAAGTAGCTAGTGGATCTTCACTCATGACCACATGGGCTGCTTTCATGGCGAGCTGGTTCACACCAACCTCTCTCTTCCTCCTCCTCCTCAATCTCGTGGTAGCCACTATTGTCATCATCTCCCGTTTCAGTGCCTCCAGAAACCACACAGTCCAACTGGCCCAAGCCCCCTCACTCATAGATAGCGTCAAGTCCGTTAACTTTTCTCTCTACAAGTTTCCTCCACCTGATTCCCGAACTCATTTGTTTCCACCCAGTGAAGCTGAGAGCACAGACCCAGTCAACCCGCCTCCACTCGTCCGAGCTCCTTCGCTGTTAGATCGAGTCAAGTCCATCAATTTCCTCAACTACAAGTTCCACGAGTACAACCCAGAAGACCATTTTACTCAATCCGCCGAACCGCAATCCACCAGCCCACTCGACCCCCCTCTGATTGCCCCAGCTCCGTCGCTTCTGGACCGAGTCCAATCTATCAACTTCCTCCACTACAAATTCCCTCAATACAACCCAGAAACCGATTTTATTCAGCTATCGCAACGCGAAGTTGATCCGCCGCGACTCTGCAGTGCTCCATCTCTCTTGGAGCGAGTCAAGTCCATCAACTTCTCATCTTTCCACAGATCGGAAAGACCCGAGACAGAAAAGAAGTTCCTGCCGGAAACAGAACCAAACAAGCAGTGTACAGATCCGGGAACGGGTAAGGAAACAGAGCAAAATCCGAGGAGGAGAAAATCGAGGGGAGAAACAGCAAAGATGAATAAGTCGGCTAGCGAGAAGTCTCGTCTGGGTCGATCGAGCGAAGAGGAGGATGCGGAGATGGTGGAGAGAAGGAGGCCAACGACAACGAGGGTGGATAAAACGTCATCGTTTGGGGAAGATGACCACGGCGTTGACGCGAAAGCCGATGATTTTATCAACAGGTTTAAGCAGCAACTAAAGTTGCAGCGATTGGACTCAATTTTGCGATACAAGGAGATGCTCAAGGGAAAGTGAATAGGCCATTGGTTCATGCCAAAATCCTAATTTGGTTAAATGTGATACTTTATAATATTTAGATTAGTAAATTTCTCTTTTTTTTAAAAAAAAATTTAATATCTATATTTTTTATAAATTTATATTTTAATTTATTATTAATAAAGGTATTACATTAACTCAAATTAGACCTATGTTATATTCATATCAGGATTGTCATCTACATTAAATGTTACAAATCATATAACGTGTTACTTAATATGTAAAAAATTTAATTTATTAATTATTTTTTAATGTAATAAAAAATTAAAATTAAAAACTTAAATTTAAAAAAAAAAATTATTTGTCCCTCCCTCCCTCCTTCTCCTCTTAAACATATACATAGAATATAGTGTCGCAAGTAAATAGTTATATTGCACAAAATTTGAAATTTTTTATGTTACATTATTAAGTAAGAAAGTAGATGAATCACTCTATTTATTATAAAAGTGAACTTGTTTTTCACGGCCTATATGCCTTAAAGCAGCTTGTAAATGATGTATAAGTTAATGATAAGTTTGAAGAAATGTCCATTTAATGAGATATTGGTTCGATTTTATAGACTCGAGATTACGTAGGCAGTCAAAAGGAGTGAGATTAAGCCGAGCTAAGGGGCTTTTTTTTTAGAACATACAACAGTGTTTTACTAATGCCTCGAATCAAGCTTTTATGGCAACACATTATGTTTTCTCCCTCGTTACTAATAGGTTGATATATCATAGGGCCAACATATATATTTTGACTTTATGTGTACATAACTCAAAATAGGTGATATAATAGTTGCCGCCCAAGTGTTTTTACACTACAAAAAAATTACCGCTGACAATATTGTAATGTTAATGGAATATTATCGATGTCGATATCATTAACGATGCTAACATAATGTTTAAAAAAAGTTCTCTTTGATTGGATAAAATCAGACGTATTAAAACTCTCATAAACCTAAAATGGATGAGAAAAATAATAATGAGGACTTGGCCCTTTCTCTCTCATCTCATCTAGGACCTTCCTTTATCATCAAACTCACTTCCTCTCTCTCTCTCTCTCTCTTTCTCTCTCTTTCTTTCTCTCTATGTATACATATGAGCTCTCACTGTTTGATGCAGAGGGAATCAAGAGTTCAAAAGCACATAACAGAGGAAATGCACATGGGTCTCATTAAAGGACGAAGTTTAAGATAGAGAAAAAAAGGTAGAGTCGGGTTTTAGTTCTTTGGATTGGATGAACATTGATTGTCCTCTTTGTTTATTGAGGCTTGGTCTTTGGCCTTTGTAGTTGTTAACTAAAGATTGACAACTAATGTCTCTGAGGTGCTATTCTTAAAAAGAAAATGATGGGCTCCCTCAACTTTATGTTTTCTAGTAGGACAATCGTTTAAGTATCACATTTCTTTTATGGGCAAATTTGACCGAAGAAGATGAAAGTCCACCACCCAATTCTTTGCCATCTCCCTCCTCAAACAAGACCAAGCCCAAGCCAATAAAGCTATCTCCCTCAACCCCTTAGACATTGCCTCTCATATCCTTAAGGCCCTCTCCCTCTTAGCTTCAAGTCTTTTGCTCTTGACTCCCTTAATGTCACCCTTATAAACCATTAATAATAGTTGTCACAAAAAGATGTGGCATAGGAGAGATGGTCTTTAAACTTCTCCAAAATTGATGCATACAATTCTTATTAAATAATAGATTTCCTGTAATAGAGATGTTATCAACATGATTTAGAAGAAAAGTTTTAAAAAGAAGATCGTAGATCATTTTTTTTATTTGATTTTATATTTTTAAAATTTTTTATTTCTTTGTTATAAAAAAAAATTATTTACAATAAAATGTTGTATTATTAGATACGTGATATCTAACGTGAACGGTGATCTTGTTAGAGTATGATATATATTTAATGTAATGACACAAGAATAATGGTTTAATCTCACATTTTTTTGACGGTTCAGATGTAATTATCCTTTAATATATAAAGAAGCTTCATTTTTGTTTTTTTAAAAAGAAAGGAAAATGGAACCCTAAAATGACAAGATGGAAAAAAGGCGGCGGGAGAGAGGAAAGAGGAAGGGTCGTGAGACCTGAACCAGATCTCACATTTTTGCAAAAGCAGGGGAGGCAACAAAAGTCCGAAGATCGGAGATTGATTCCGCACACTGAACGCGGTCGCGACGAGAAGTGAGGCTAGCTTAGAGAATAGAGACGATCATACCCGGATTCATCTGTATTGCTCTACGCCAAAGAGGTAAGGATTATTTACCTCTTTAATCTATCTCAGTAACTAGTATACGTAGGAAACAGATTCACAGAAGTATTTTCTTACATACAGACCCCGAAATAAAAGAAGGATGAGTTGAGTAATTTCTGTTTTGGCTTAAATGAATTTATGTCAGTACCATGCATAGGAAATTTGGGAACAAAGCTGGTCTGTAGGAGTCAGTATCTTCGATAAAATCTAGGAAGATAATTACTCTAGGGAAGGGAATTACTGAAGAGTAGCTGAAGTTGCTCAAAGGACTAGTAAATTAATTGCAAAAATTGGTGGAAACTGGAGTCAAACCTCTTGTCTGAGCCAAATATGTTGATACCAGTGACAGAAGCGCGATTTAAGTTTCCTAGGGAGACATTTCAGCACCGGTAGGTTCTACGAATATTATCAGATTTAGGGAAGTAAAATACCGACGGGTAGTTAAACCAAACATAGAGTAGGAGATGAAAAAGAGAGAAGCTTATTTAGTTCTCCCTACTTTGGGTTTCGGCAGAATAGCAGCTGTAGAGGAGAGACCCTTGGGTCTCACTGAGCAAAATGGGCCAAAGTTACCCATCCAATACAGACTGTATGGGAACCCTGGAAACTGCAGAAAATGTAAGGAATGATATTAACAAGAGGGTAGACGTTGCACACCAGGAAATAAATGGATAAAATGCAGAAAATTAATTTGGATAGTAATACGAACAGAAGAATAAATTAGAAGGTAGAAGTGTTGTATGGCAGAAGTGCATACAACCTAGAAACTAAGAAGAAATAGAAAGAAAAAAAAATTAGATACACCAAAAAGCAGACAAGGAAAATGCATGGGAAATTATACAACTAAGAAAATAAAAAGGAAGAGTACAGCAATAGAGGTTGGTTAAAGTTAAATATAATAATAAATCAAAATAGGAGATAAACAGGAAATTATGTATTCATTTGACTGGGGAGTAAACAGTAAAAGAATTCTGTTTAAAAAAAAAAACAGGAGTGACCTGCGATATTTATCATTGTATTACAGATTATAATGTCGATGAGTATACCGTTCAATCAGTTATCATTGAGGGAGGAGTGTGTGAGTGACCGGATTAACGGTTGAGATGAGTTTGGTACCCCTTTCATGTGAGATAGGTTGATGATGGGTGGTAATGTGCATCATATGAGTTATGGTAAATGGTATGAATGCTATTACATGTTTTGAGTCCCTTTGTACTAGAAATAGTACAATTGTGACCATTGTTATTGTGCTCTTGACATATGTGGGTTTGTGGGTGGCCATTTTGGTCGAGAGGTGATTACTCAAGAGCGTGTGCAATAACGTATAATACTAAGTCAACCGTGGGGTGACGTGTGTGCGTGGTCGTTATGGCCGACTGTGTGAGGCTCGGCTGGTGGTGGTAACAAATGATTTGTGCTGATGTATATTTGTGATTTTTATCCACGTGTTTGTAGAATTATCGATTTATTTTTCTATGTTGATAATGGATGTGAATGGTATGATACATCGGGATACCAGAGATAAAATCTAAAGTGTGACAGGAAATGATAATGTATGTTTGCTGAATGTATGTAAACTTGAAGGAGAAAGAGACATAACTTTGGGCTTTGTTGATTTACTACGTGATGAGTTTGTTGAAAAAGATAGAAGCCGTGGTATCTTTTTCACTCAAGATTGGGTCTCTCTACTAGGTGTCTATAAAACAAGTAAGCCTCCCTAGACCATACAAGCGCACGGCGAGCCCATGCAAAAGGTTTGGTTAAGATATGCTAGGCGAAGCGGTGGAGTGCTGCACCCTAGATGGTGAGAGTCCAGTAGCCCAAAGCATCATTAGCTTATGCTCTGACCCGAGTAGCATGGGGCATGTAGAATGGGGAAGTGTAAGAACCGTACTAGTTACCAAGGTAGAGAAAAGTAGTAAATAATTCTTACAGAGTTGTGAACTCACCCCCTTTATACCTTCTTTTTGCAGAGCAAGAAAATCAACCTCAAGAGCAGATTCAAACAATTGCCAATCGCCAATAGTTAGAATTGAGACTATTTTTCATACTTTAAAGACTCAATTAGTTCCTTGTTGATATTTTTTTTTAATTTTTAGTAGTTTGTTGATGATCATTTTGACATCAAAGGAAGGTGACACCTTGTAAACATTAAGATAAATACAAGATGACATTTATAAATGTTGTTGATATAAATTGACCCTTGTTCTATGTAGAGATTGGAGATATTATAGATGATATGAAAATTTTGTAAACTTGAGGAAACATACGAGATGCTAGGTGTATGATTTGTGTTCATGTAAGTTGACCCCGCTATTTCCTGCTAAGAAATCAGAGATGTCACAGTTAATATCAGAGCACAGGATCCTAGGAAAACATCCTTGTACCTAGAGCGTATTTTTGATGTGAGGTTTATAAGCAAAATAAGATAGAATACAAGGAAAGGAAAGAAATAAGAAGTATATATATATAATATACTACAATGGAAGGGAAAGAAATAAGTTAAATATATATACATATATGGAAATATATATGTATATATATTATACGAATTACTCTATCAAGAGGGAAGTTTAGACAAGATATGAGTATTAGATAAAAAAGATATATGAGAAGTATGAATTTGCTATTGTATATTGTACTGTAAAGAGGTATTACTATTTATTCATTTATCAATGATAATTGTGTGCATGTGTGGTCGAATTGTGGTCAATGTAATTGATGTAAGCCCTTTCACCTGGATGAGAGAGATTATTGATGATAATGTGCATTGTATATGTTGTGTGATCTTGTATGAATGCAATTACATTTATAATACTTTGTATTTGCTGTGAGAGTTTATACAGATGTGGGTGTGGTGGTTATACGTTTGGAGGGGCGGGTGCGTGAGTGGCCAATTGTGGTCAAGTGGTGGATCTCATCCGAAGAGTGTGTAATATACAGTACTATACTAGGTGAGTAGTGGGGTGGGTGTGTGTGTGGCCGATACGGTCGAGTGTGAACCCTGTCTGTTAGTTGTGTCGTATGGTTTTCATTGTTATGTTATGGTGATTGTGTCCACGTTGTTAGAGGTGTCATTGAACTCTCCTCATTGATAATGATTCACGACATTGTATGATGAGACACTGGTGTTCACTTGTGATATAAGAGATGAAGCATATCGCTACCCCACCTCCCTGGAACAAATTTCTCAACATAATAGGACTATTGGTGAATTTAGGTAATCCAAATTAACCTAATCTAAATGTTAGTAATCGATTGGACATAACTGTTTATCCTTAAAACATAATGGAACATTCGAGGAAAAAAAACATTTTATTAAGATCTTTTACAAAAGATTTGTTTTCTCTTAGGTTAAACTCCTAAAGGAAATGAACTATCTTGGAGATATGTCTTGACAATTAGATCATTGATATGAGAATCCAGAATATAATTTCTTACGCCTAAATGGGAACAAAAAGGTCGCACATTCTACAGATATGATAAGATAGACTCCGAAAGTAGATGTTATCAACTAGGAATTAACACCTAGAAGACCGATCCTAAACTAATAGGGAATAAGTGATTATTTGAAAAACACAAGATTTATATCTAAGGGCTATAGCTAAGAATGATAACTTGGAGTCCTTAAAAAAAAATTATTAAAGTATAGTTTCACCTTGAACACAATAGGAGATGTCTAGTAAATAATGACTATAGTCAGATAGACCAAATGACAATACGAATGATGAGAGTCTTAATAGGCCTATCGAAGAAATGATCCAATAAATAAAGGTATAAAACAGATCCCTAAGAAGACATGGAATTCTCTCGATTTATGAGAGTTGGAACATCCCATAAAGGGGGAAGATTTCACCAAATGAAGAAACCCTCTAAGTGTGAGAAAGTTCCCCAAGGTGAAAGAAAATCTTCCAAGTAGGTAAACCATGAGAGAACCATTCCTAAACCAACAAGAGACTAAAGCGAAATAGCAATCGTGACAAAAAAACTAATATCAAGCAGTTAAGGAGGTCAAATAATCATCTGAGACCAAGATAACCTTGAAGCTTTTTGGAACTTCTTTTAGGAAGGATAGGTGAGACCAAGATAAGCTTGAAGCTTTTTGGAACTTCTTTTAGGAAGGATAGGTGCCCTACTTGCTTGGCCTTATTAGGGTTCCACATAAAGGGTATAATAAAGAAGTTAAAATCCTAAGAGTTTGAATCCCATGTGTTTGGTGAACAGAAACCATTCCACTGAATGAGGCAAGATACTTCTAATTAAAACCCTTTATCTTAAAATACCTTACTCCTAAATAAGAATTCGGAAGGAAGAAAGAGAAAAAAAATTAAAAAATAATGGTAATAAAAAAATTCTTAGAGACATATTTATGAAATGACACCGTATCATGATAGCTCAGGAATATAAGCTTCTCCTCTTAAAATATCTTACTCCTAAATAAGAATTCGGAAGGAAGAAAGAGAAAAAAAATTAAAAAATAATGGTAATAAAAAAATTCCTAGGGACATATTTCTGAAATGACACCGTATCATGATAGTCCAAGAATATAAGCTTCTCATACACTTAGAAAAACATAAAAGTGAATAGATATAAATACATTAGGATAAACCCTTAAAATAAATATCATCATAATAGCACAACAGAAGCGTAGGGGGCCCATGACCCTTAACACAAGAAGTACTACTATTCGAACCAATAAGAAGAGATCGATAAGGTGACGAACACGTGATTCATATCTTAAGCCATACGTGAAAGTTTTAGAAACTCAAATGTGTAATACCTAACTTTATGAGAGTTAAAATAAAATATAACCACATGCAACAAGTTAATAGTTAATCTACCTACCAAAGGAACTCTTAATAAAGTCCAGTTGAAAAAAAAAAGAACAAATCTCAAAACCCACTACATATATTTTAAGAGACCCTAGAAAAAAAAGTAATTTTGTATTGAGATTTTTTTTAAAGAATTATTCAACCATTGTTGGACTTAGGAGAGCA